CGTGCGTGCGTGCGTGCGTGCGTGCGTGCGTGCGTGTGTGTGTGTGTGTGTGTGTGTGTGTGTGCGTGTGCGCGCGCGTGCGCGTGCGCGTGCGTGCGTGTGTGTGACGTGCGTTGCCTAACTGTTGTCGTCGTCGTCGTTGTCGTCATTGTCGTTGTCGACGTCGTTATTGTTGCTGTTGTTGTAGTTGTTGTTGTTGTTGTTGTTGTTGTTGTTGTTGTTGTTACTGCTGCTGCCGCTGTTGTTGTCGTGCTTTTGTGATGAGACACTTGGCGTGGTAAATTTGAGGCGGCAGCGTTGTACTCTAATTCAGATTTCGCTTGCTTTATAATCATTCGTACCACTGCTCGCACTATTACGTTGCCATGGCGATAGCGTCCTCCTCCTCGGCAGCCACGCGTCGAGATTCAAACGAACCCAGATACGAGTACGTCCGTCGTTTCAGAGAGGAATTTCTCTATCTGGTAATGCTGCAGACTTGCGAGCACGCCATGTCACTTACAGACGCTTGGAACGTTTCAATAAAATTTGTTTTCCTTTAAATGCCGTTTAAATGCTCCTGTGCAACACACAAGTACACCGCGCGCACGCCGCTGTGCAGAAACAACAAGAATTTAAACAACAATAATGTTGTACTGGGAAAATGGTGAGATCTCCGTGTAGGATCTGTAGCGTCGACAGCGTAGAGTAGCAGCGTAGTCGTGTGATAACCAGTAGAGAGTAGACGTAGTCGCAGCTTCGTTGTTGAATTAGGACTTTATTAGTAAACTCGAACACATACAAAATATATACATACGTACGGCAACCTAGGTGGGTGACCGTGCCTAGGTCCCGTCGTCTCAATCTCTCTACATCGTGGTAGGTAACCCCTCCTGGGTAGGTAACCTCTGTAACTCGGTGCCTATATCTTCCGTCTCCCCGAGCGTATATTTATACGCTTCTTAAAAGCGCCCGGACGCCCCACAATCCGAACCAGTTTCTCCCCGCAGCTTCTACTATTAGTGACATATTAACGCGCAATTGTCTGTAATCGTTAGGGTGCGCGGTAGGGCTACGTATATATATACGAGCATACGTCCCATGTTATTACCAAAACAACAATAACTAGCCAGGGTTAGAAGTATAGACGCAGCCCTACAATACAACAATAATAATAAACAACAATAACAAGAAGCGTTTACGTGTGCGTGCGGGCGTCGACGCCGCCGTGTCGCGCGTGTAATAAATTGGACGTAATTCTAGCTTACGTTACATGTGCGTGTGGGCCGAGCCGAGCACGAGGGGACAGCAAAACAGATGCAAGTGGAGCTGAGCGTTGCTCTGCCCCTGCCACGCGCCGAGGCGGTGTGGCCGGAGTGTTTGTTTGCGTTTGAAGCTGAAGCTGGTGGCAGCTGAAGGCGATCCAGGCACACGTTACCGAGTGTAAGCTTGTTTAGCGCACCGCGGCGGCTTTTTCGTGGCAGGCGTTGTGTGATCGATGTATTTAGATAACCCGACGTGAACCAGTAATGACTCGGTGTCTTCTTCAACAGGGCTATTCGACTAATAAACATAGAACGATTACATGCATTGATCATTAGGTAATGCACGCATGAGTAGACAATACGTTCCACTGTGAAGCGCTATTGGCTCAATAAAATATCGCTAAGCTACGGCCCCTGTGGGAGGGAAGAAAAAGATGTTAAAGACTATGTTGTCAGTGGCATGGCTCTGAAATCGCTACTCATCTCTCCCCATCGGTGGTGTATACTAGGAATCGCATAAGGTTACATGACATGGAACTGTAGTTGTCTTTGGAAATTACGTGTCACGATATACGTAACTACAGCTTCTTCTATCTTCGGTAAAGATGCACAAACTTAAAAGATACCCCTGAGTAATAACTGTAGAGCAGCTCGATCACACACAGCAGCAGCTAGTGGACACCGTAGCAGCAGCATGTGTAGCAGAAAGATTCGCACAGGACGTGTTGTCACCGAACCCTGGCCTGTCGCGTCCACATCGATAGAAAATATGCCAGCCTCCCGTCGTCACCTCGTGTTGACGGACTCTTCCGATGACGAAGAAGAGTCGTCAACCGACTACGAAACCGCAAACGAGGATGAAGACGAAGAAGCCAAAGACGAGGAAAAAGAGTACGAGTACGTGGATGTGGAGGAGAATGTGGTGATGCGAGAGGCTGCGTGTGAGCTGGATGCGGACGCTGAGTGGGCTTCGGACGAGGACTCTGGTTCGCTGACGTCCGGTGATTCGGTCACGGGGTACGGGGAGTTCCATCCCTTCACAAACCTCTACTGGAAACCCGAGAATGGAGACGGAAAATTTTCTTTTGCCGACGAGGAAAACTTTGACACGGACGCGGCACTGCCCAGTACTGGCCCTGCTTCTACACGAGAGGGGAAAGCTACAATGTTAAATTCTACAAGAGAACGAACAGCGTTTGACTTCTTTACGCAATGCGGCAAGGGGTGGAGGTTTGATGAGCTCGGTCTAGAAGACCAGCCGCAATTCGCTGAACCATGGTTCAACGTGCCCAAGCTGAGACTAAGCCAGTGTACCGAGTTTGAACAACTGGACAACATTCTTAAATTTGATGAGCTGCCAATGCCTAAGGTGCAACAAACAGGGGTGAGTGAATACACACAGGAGTGTTTGCTAACGTAACCTAGCGGCATCATATCTAACCACCAAATTATTAAGCATCTTTACCTATACTAGGTTCCCTCCCTTTACCACACCTTTACCACAGCAGCGTGTGTTTATAGCTGGTTGCGATGCGCGTGGCCCGCTGAACGCATGTTTACGAAATAGCGTGTATCCCGCGATGTGGCAGCATCCAGCGAAAATATGATAGCCTCATAAAATAAATATTGCGCTCACAGCTGCGCGGCTGTAAGTAGCAGAAAATACCTGCCTCGGCAGCGAGCGACATCTGGATTCCGTGAATGGGATGAGAGAGAGAGAGAGGGAGAGAGAGAGAGAGAGAGAGAGAGAGAGCGAGGGAGAGAGTGGGGAGTGGGAAAGAGAGGGAGATAGAGGAGAGAGAATGAGAGAGAGAGAGCGAAATGCTGCGTGATGCATATGTATATACAGTAGCTCTAGTGTAGTGAAGCCCACCCTACATGGTTAGTTATCTCTAAACCAACATCCCGCCTGCGTACTCCCTTAAATTTATTAGCTACACATTATGACCCAAATTATTGCTGCTCACATGGCGCTTGCTTATATATGTGTATACGTTATGGCAAGTGCTTTATTTAACCACCAGTTCACCCCGTGTAGCTGTTGGTGTGCACGTTCGTGGCCGCAAATTTGCTTCCTGCTACATATGTGTCGAATTTGCCCGTGAGAGGGCACGACAGTGTAGGATAGAGCAAGGCCACGCGGATTTCAGCAGCCGGTAGCATCTTGTGGTGTAGCCGTGGGATCGCATGACTCCGGTGCCACTTGACCTTGTCAGGAACAGTACCGGCAGGCTATTAACTAACCCCCAGTCGACCAGATACAACGGCTGTTGTTGCGGTGATCGAATGCCGGCTTCTGGCTTTCCTGATTTGGCCTATTAAACTTATTTCTGTTTGCTGTTCGTGTAACAGGCACGCGTATTTATAGAAACTCCTGTGATGCCCTAAGATTTAGGGATTCTAACGATTCCGTCGCCGCATCACTGAGCCGGGGTATATTTTTTGGTATGGCTGTTCAGTGTTTGCTCTGCGCACCTGTTGGCGCGCGTAACTTAACGTGCGTAGCTTATGTGGTTTTTCTTACATGGTTTGTCGCTTGTTTACATTACGCTGTCTTCTCTGTTCCCGCCGATGCGATGCGATGCTGGAAGGGAAGAAGAGTGAAGCTGATCGCGTTCGCTGATAACCGTGCGTGCGGTCGCATTACGGCTCAGTGCTGGCTCGTCCCCGCGTGCAGCAGCTGCAGTTTCTCCAGTTCCTGGGCAAGTCCAAGAGAAGGTCCCCTTTCGGTCCCATACGTAACGCACCATGTTTTCTTAATTGCATAATCACCCCAAGGACAAATAACATATAAATTCTTGTGGGTATTCTCCTTGCAGATATCCAACATTGGATTAAAAAACAGTGAAATCAATGACTGAATCTTAATTGCTTTTCAGAGTGTTAAACCTTCTGAATGTCCCATACGTAACGTGCGCAAACTCTTGGACTTGCCCTCCCTCTGTGCGCACGAGCGCACCGTCACTGTTCCGCTGAAGTTGCGCGGACATGTGCGGCGATCCCGGCGGGTTTCTTTGAGGCGGTAATCCCTGTCCGCGCGCGCTGAGCAGGTTATGCGCTCTAGAAATGATACACTTCTCTCTCTCCGCACACACGTGCCAGGCCGCGCTTGTAAGCGTAGCCTACACCTCCCGCCGGTATCGCCTTGCTTATAATCGCGAGAGATGTGATGATTCCCCGGGGGCGGAAATGGGATGATTCCCGATTGACGTGGAGGGATAATCTGGATTAACGAAGCGTTTGGTGGTAGATGGATGATGCTCGCAGGCAGTTGCTAAACACTGTGAGCTTTTTAACTGCTGGTGTTTAGACCATGTTAGCAGGAGTGAATAATAGAAAATCTCTATTATTCACTCTTGATGTTAGTGGTCATCGAGCCGATGGGGGTGGGGTTGCGCTGACGTACGTTTAGATTTGTCATCTCGGTCACTTTAGGCGTGTATGATTTACCTCGAGTTGAGGTGATTGCTTCCGCTTTTTCTTTTGTTGTGGCTCATCTTTACTTCTACTTTACTTCGCGTTGCTATTCGATTTTCATGTGAAACTTTGAATGCGATGTGTGTGTGTGTGTGTGTGTGTGTGTGTGTGTGCGTGCGTGCGTGCGTGCGTGCGTGCGTGCGTGCGTGCGCGTGCGTGTGTGTGTGT